ATGGTATCAGCGTCTTATAATGACACCAATAAAAGTAGAAACGGATCATATTTATAATTCTCATAAAAAAATTATCCTGCTCGGGGTCATTATTCTAAATAAGAGAAATATGTTTTTGACCTACTTTTGTAGAAGCTATGTCCTCTCTCTACGATAACCTCCGATTCCAACCTGAGACCTGTGCGGAATCCCATGCCGCCGACGGAGGGGCACAGACCGATGGCTGGAACGTCAACGTATGCAGCAGCGGTAAGGGACCCCGTCCCCGTCCGACGCGTTCTCGCCCAAAGTCGCTTCTTCTCTGATTTGGATCTATTGGGTTCACCGGTCCAAAGGTTTGGCTCGTTCAAAGGTACCCCAACTATTTCTTTCGATTTGCGTTGGTTGGCACCTTCGCAAATGGTAGGCCAGCTCTTTCTGCAATTCGTAAGGCCTTCGAGGCACTACGGTTCTCAGAACCCTACATCGTCGGCCTACTGCAATCCATGCTTGGTTTTAAGTTTGGATGGTAGATTCACTCCAGAAATTAGAAAATAATCGTTGAAGTACTGTTCATGCTTTGTTTAAGGTCTGTAGAAATCTGGAATTATGAGTTTTCTTTTAAAAATTGGGACTGATGTGGGACTCGTCATTTCCTGACGAGCCCAGCGAACCATGATTTCAGTTGTTTCTAACCTCAGGTCTGAAACGTAGGTTTGGGTGTGAAGAAAAGAGAAACAGGTAATGTTATCATCGTTTCTGAGTTCGAGCCTGCTACCTGCTATGGCTTGTTCATATACGATTTGAGTTTTGCAGAAAATTAGGCGTTGTTTTTTATTCTGTATTTTTACACTTGGCTATTCTTCGATGGTTAGAAAGAAGGCTGAGTCTGTGAAGCCATCTTCTGTACAAACCAGGTCTATGTTTTCAGTCCTTGCTGATACAGATGAAGAGTTCCAGCTCTTAATGGGATCAGAATGGCATCAAGAAGATTGAAATCAAACCTGGGGCGGTTTCTATTAATGCAAAAGCTACTGCCAATGCAGGGGATGCTGCTACTACGCTATCTGGGCAGCTTGGTTTGGTCAATCCTGCTACTAAGCAACCTGGAATTGCTAAAGAAGCTACTGTTGGTGCAATTCCTAGGCCAAATGGGAAGGAAACAGAACCTGATGGTGGCTGTTGATAAACCATGGAATGCACTAAATTGAGGTAACCGTGATCCAACTCATTGGCTTAAATTGAGGTATGTACCACCTAAGAGTTAAACTTTAGACTTTTTTTTATCGTATCTTACCCTCCATGATTGATTGTGTTTTAGGAATGATAGGGTTAAAAGGCATTTGGTTAGGGAGCCTCTTCATTTAATAAAAATGCTTCACACAGAGGTACTACTGTTTTTTCCTTCATTTGTAGTCTATGTGATGAATAATTGAATACTATTGTGCTGATTTTTTATGTGGGCAGAATTCTTTAGTACTGTAAATGTTAATTGAACACTATTGTGCTGATTTTTTATGTGTGCAGAGTTCTTTAGTACTGGTAAATGTTTTCCTTCACCTAATTTAAAGTTAGTAACTCATATATGCTATTTGGTGGTATTTTCTTGGTGTTTTTCTTCACTGTAGGCAGTCAACTGTAATGAAGGTATTCTACCAATTTACTTTTTATTATACTTCTATTGTTTTACGGATTAGTGTACTCAAAGTTTAATAGAAAACATTTTAAATGGTCAACCATATACACTCATCTTGATCGCTCAGATTTTAAACCACTCACTCATCTGATTGCTTGGGCGAGACGTGTTAATAATATATTTGGTTGTAATGAAGAACAAAAGACACTTGGGTTCACCTTTTAGATATTCACTATGAATTTATTTGCTTTTTATTTGGTTGTAACTCTTTTCATTAATCTATTTCAGCTTCACTAAACAAAACCAGACATATTTCAATCACAGTCCTTACGGTTTAGACATATCAGGGACGTGAGAGTATCTTTTTTAGCTTCCCCCTACTTAGACACACACCATCTTATATATTCTTTCTCTATTTATCTGTGAATTGGTTAGTCTTTAAACAGGTCGCTAGAGATGCTATTCATTTTTTTTCAAGTAAGTCCTTTTACTATAAAATAGGGATTTAAATGTGCTTCTTAGCTTCTAGCTTCTGCTACTCGCCCTTTGACGGGTAAGTTTATTTTACTAAAAATTTCAAATTTTCAGCGTGCAAGTAGCAAGCTGTTGCTAGTTTACTTGTGTATTTGTGTTATGTTTTTGTAAATTTTGTTTATTTTCTTGTTTAGAATTTTGAAAGTAGCCTGTTGTGTTCCGTAATTCCATTCTTTGCTTAGTTGTTTTATTTTGTAGATTAGAGTTGAAATTTTACTTATTTATAGAAAAGATGTACTAAGTTGAACTAGTGTGTGTTTACTGTAACGTCCGCTTTGCAGGTGAAGTATGATAGAAGCAAGTGAGGTTTCAAACAATAAAGTTGGTAGCATAAGAACTGGTTTCATTCTGTGCAAGTCTGCAAAAGAAGATATGTGAAGGCCCGAGGAAGTGTGGTGTAAAAGTTAGACTTTTTAGTGTTTTGTTCTGGTATATTACTTGTTGTTTCGGGGTGTGCCCCCATGAATTATGTCGTATGAAGTATGTACATTCACATTTATGTAAGAAATTGAGATATAAATAAAAATCTTTGAATTTTGGTTATTTATTAGTATTGAATTATATTACACACACATATATATCGAAATCAATGTTTAATTATGATACTAATGTATCATATATCTTTATGATACTAGAGTGTCAAAAAAAGTTATGATATTATAATGTCATAATTTTATGTGATATTTTATTGTCATAATTTTGTGACACTAATCTGTTTAGCAATCAGTGACACTAAATTTTGTGTCACTTGCCCCGCTTTTCTGTGACACTTTCAGTGTGTCATTAAATCGTTTAGTGACACTAATTTAATGTCACTATAAGCTATTTTTTTACTAGTGTTCGCAAGAGATCAGCAAATACTTCTTCTCCATCCCAAGTCATCATTCTTCTCCACAGCTCCACGGTCGGCCATCTCCCCCGCAGTCGGCCATCGTCCCTCCCCAGTCCGCATCTCCCCGCCGCAATGAGCTATCACACCTCCGAAGTCTCCAATCGCACCGCCGCAGTCGGCCATCGCACCGCCACCGCGTCCAATCGTACCGGCTACAACCTCTCCATCCAAACAACGTTCCACCGTGTCACAATAGCCTCGCCATCCAACCGACGCTCTACCTCGACGTCAACAGAATCCAGATTTCAGATCGAATCTGAAGGATTTCACCTTTTTCAGATCTGGGCGACTCAGGTGTGGGGGGTTGGAAGCTACGGCGTGGGGGCTGGTACGCAGGGAACGAGGCTGGTGTGCAGGGGAGGGGCTGGTGCACAGGGGACGGGTACTAATGCACAGGGGAGGGGCAATGAAAGTAGACGTGTGGGGGAGAGGCAGTGGGAATGGGATCGTGGTGGCGGCTGGCAGGGGAATACACTGCTGTGGAGGGTGGTCTTTAGGGTTGGGGAGGGAGGTTGCTGATAGGCTAGGGGGTGAGCTGGGGAGGGCTGGTGGGAGGGGAGGGGGGCTGGTGGGCTGGGTAGGGGGCTAATAGGCTAGGCAGGGGCTGGTAGGCTGGGGAAGGAGGCTGATGGGACGGGGTGGTGGGTGGTGGGCTGGGAAGGGGACGGGGGTTGGGGAGGCGGTAGTGGCGGTGTCGTTGGTGTGGTGCTAGAATTTGGTTCAAATTGGTGGCCGCGGTGACACGGGCGGTTGCCGCAGTGACACGGGCGGTAGCCGCAGTGACACGGGCGGTGGCCGCAGTGACACGGGCGGTGGTCGCAGTGACACGGGCGGTGGCCGCAGTGACACGGGCGGTGGCCACAGTGACACGAGCAATGGTTATAGTGACACGGGCGGTAGCGGTAGTGACACGGGCAGTGACAACAGAGACATTTGATAGTGACATTAAAACAAGATGGTGACATTAAAATCTGGAAATGACATTAATATGACTTTGATGATCACTTTTTTGCCCCTTTTTAAAAGTGATCACTTTTTGGTAATTGGTTCAAAATTAGTAATATTCAAATAAAAAACCCTTATTTATACGTAGGTAATATTGTTTTTATAAGCAATAGCTAATAAATAAATAATAATGTCCTTATCTGTCTTTTTACACTCAAACAGCTATTCTTAAACAACTAATTTATCAAACATTTGCCGATAACAAGCTAACATAATCAGCCAACTAAAACAGCCGTCACAACCAGCTAATTTCAATCAGCTGTCGCAACCAGCTAACAGCCAACAACCGATTGACAAACAATGCCAAAGATGAGGGTGAAAGTTGTGAGTTTTTCCAAACCTATATTTAAAAAACCGACCCGACCCGGCCGGGTTGACCCGAAACCCGGTGACCTGGACAAAAAACCAGTTCGGTTTTTTCAAAACCCGGAAATGGTAAAAAAACCGGAAAAACTCGGCTGACCCGGGAAAACCCGGTCAAGACCCGGACCCAAGAAACCCGAAAAACCCGGTAAAACCCAGTTTTTAGGTGTTTTTACCAAAAAAGTAATTTCTTTTTTATTTTTAATGCATTTTTTATTCCAATAAAATTGCAATTTCAATACCTTAAAAAGAAAAACTACGTAATATATTTATATATTTATTTAAGAATGAGCATCATGACAAATTATAATATAGATGTATAATAAAAATAAAAATATCATTATATATTGTTATAAGATCAAAATATACATTGAAATACTATAAGAGTGTATTAAATGCTTAATAAGTAGTATTGTTAGTTGATTATTATGAATAATAACTAATTTTTATTATAATTATATATATAATTATATGTTTACTATTATTATATAGACGTATAATTATTGACCGGTTTTCCGGCGATGACCGGTTGACCCAGCGGGTCCTGGTTGACCCGTGATCCAATCATGTGGCCGGTTTTTACAACGTAGCCCCAAACCACTGCTGCCAGCAGAAACGGATTCCCAGATACGGGAAATCCCAATCGGGCAATCAGCAATCAACCGGGTAACAAGCAACAAGCAACAAGCAACGGCCAAGCCAAGCAGCCAAGCGCCCAAGCAGCAGAGCCATCCGCCACACCGGACCGCCAGGGATCCCGCCTCCCGGAGCCAAATCGCCGACCGCCGTGCCCGTTCCTCGTTACGGCGTCCGCCATCCGCCCTTCCGGTAGGTTATCCCATTTTTACCTTTCTTAATCAAATTAAATATTTGGCATTTCATTATTGAGTTTTTACAATTTATAAATATGATTGGAAAAATATGTAAACTAGTTAATGATTTATTGACTTGTGTATTATTCATTATTGTATTGTACTGAGTATTATATTAAGATTGCGGTAAATGTAAATTTGTAATGAATCTACTGATTACTCATTATTGGTATTAAATTATGAATTTATAATAGGTTGAACTTTGAATTAATTATTTTTGTTATGGGTAATTATTATTAGGGAATATCAATTGAGAATGTGTGGTCAGTTACATTAGCAATTTTCATTAAACCTCTTATGTTTTATTGGTATGGTTTGTTAAGACAATATTATTATTAATTTGATGGTTTACATTATGTGATCGTGCCCCCCTAAATTATTTTCTAGTTCTGCCACTGAAGACGATATAGTAAGGCAGCCTCAAATGAGCCTATTTATTACTGATTGACCCCATTTCAAATGAAAAAAATCCAATAAGCATGAATGATATCCCACGAGTTTTGGGTATTTGCTTAACCTCATAAACTTCTTTTCTTTTTAATGGGATGTGTAGGATGCATATAATTTCCCTGCATTTTCATTTCATCGTCTTCATGTTCCTATGAATTTCATTTATTGCAGCGTGCTTATACCAAATTATTAACTGCAATACAATGTTTCTGATGTAACTCTGTGTTTACATTTTTTTGGTTCAGATATTTAGGTGTGGTTTACAATAGAATGACATGTTCTGAGCTAGACCCTGATGTTGTTCGGTGGGGTCTTCATCTGATAGATGTTTGCTCTATCAACGATAGTGGATCTCCTGTCAGCATTACACAGTGTGATGAGGACATGTCTCAAACTGAATTAATTAGAGAAGGTTACTGTGATACGTCACACTTACCTCAAACTGAGTTGATCAGAGAAGATTACTATGATACTTCACATGCTTACGTGGATAATGATGAGATAATTGCTCATACACTTCAAGAGGAATTATCGCGAGTTGCGATGGTTGAATCTTCAGGATCTTCACATGCTGAGGAAGAACATCAGAAAGACTCTGTTCTTTCTCAGGATTGGCTTGGATCTTCAAAGAGACACGGTGAGTTTGGTATGCAAAAAGGAAAGAGTTAATGAAATTCGCTTTGATCTTCGCATGCTATGCCTACTTTGGCTGCATTCACTGATTTTTTTAATGAAATTCTTAAAATGGTAGGCTGCGAAAGAGTTAATGAAGAAATAGAAGACAGTGATATGTTTTATCAATATTCTAGTCCAGTTGAAATGTCAGGTTGTCCGAGCGATCAATCTTATTTGCCACAGATTGAAGATGAGTCCAGTCTTGATGGTGAAGTTGGCAAAAGATTGAACCAGATGATTTCTATTCCTGTAAGTAGACTTATTTGTTTGCATCATGCGAAATGATATATGAGGCGCTTTTTGTTGGGTAATTAATCGTGATATTTTTCTAAAGTCATCTCCTTTGAGAAAATTCAATAAGTTTGTTATAAAACTAACAAGACTTGTGTTACGGGCGTGGTTGTGATCTTGTTTCAGATATAGGGAATACAGAATATGAGAGAGGAATAATAAAATTAGCCTAAGCTAGAATCAGTCAGTGCCGGACCTTGTCAGGACACTCAAAAATTATTTCTTCCCAATCTTTTTAATTAAATAATATTGACGACCCTCATATATTACAAGAAGTCCTAATTATAAAAGGAAATAAATGCTAAAACAAAGCTAACTGAGAAGCAGTATAAAGCAAATTAGGAATAATTATAAAAGGGGATAAATGGTAACTAAGAAGCTGCCTAAAGCAGAATAGGAGTAACTATAAAAGGAGATAAATGCTAATTAAGAAGCTGCCTATAGCAGACATAGAAATAAAATAATAATAATAATAATAATAATAATTATTATTATTATTATTATAATTATAATTATAATAATAATAATAATATATTGTTTCTTCTCCCATATTAATTAGCAACTACGTGAAAAGAAGCTACTAATATTCCAAAATATTATAGTCATCTTTTGCAAGTTAATTGATCATTATATTCGGATAGCAAAGTACTCCATTTTCTATGCTTGCATCTGTGCGCAGAGATTGCTTATCCACTCTTATGTCAATTAGCTTTTAGGTATTTAGGTTACATCTATATTCTGACAGCTAGCTTCTTTTCGTCCATTGTTGATTGACTATGACCTTTCTCTTTCAATTTTTTCTGTCTTTGTCAGCATGTTCCTAAAATCAATGGAGAGATACCTTCAGTTGATGAAGCTTCTTCAGATCATCAGAGGCTAATGGACAGGTTCTTCCAGCACCTTCATCTTTTATCTCCTAATTTCATATACCCATTGATACTAATTTATCTATTGATGTTTGAACTTTTTGCATTTGTGTTTTTGAGATTGATCTTCTAGACATTTAATGCAAATATGCAATAATTGGAGTGAAGTTTTTAGTTTAATAATTTGATAATCTCAAGTCTCTAACACCTATTTTGCATCAATGAATTGGCACTTTTGATGTATACATTGATTATATTTATGAACTTTTTATCCTCACAAGGCTACAAAAGGGAGGTCGGAACTCTAACTACAAAAAGTAAGTCCTCCGTAGGCTCCATTTGGTTTTGGTTTAGCTGAATTTGACTAAAAGTCGTGATTCTGTGAACCTGTGTTCAGTAAAAAATGGGTGTTCCTAGGTCATCCAAGGTGCATGTAAAAATAATGCAGCTTGGACAATATTTTAGATAACCTTGTGAGTGTAAAGTGTTGTTTGGACGGAGGTCTTCCAACTCATTTTATTCGCAAATAGAACTCAACCTCCGAAATCCCACAATTCTGAGGCTCTTTAGAATTGGGGTTTCAAATCTTTTCCAAGGCGAATCCTAACGGGTGAAATCCACATTAAACATGGACGAACTGAGATTCACCTTGAACCAAATGGACCAGTAGTTCTTGTGATGTATCATAAAACATCAAATAATGATTGGAGGTAGTTATTTTGTCATTGCCGTTATTTTTTTTCTAGACCCCCTCCATTCAAGGAATCTATTCCAATTAGGGGGTATATTTCTTTGGAGTTATATGATTTGGATACTAATAATTTGAAATAAAGTAGTGAGGTGTACAACCAATTTAATAGTGTATGGGGGGAAAACCCTTCTAGAGTTTTCCCAAGATTTTCATTTATACTCTAGTTGTCTCTCTGTATACAATGGCTTCTTTCTATTTCCACATTCAGGCTTGAACTATATGAGCTCGTTGAGTTAAAAGTTTCAGGAGATGGCAACTGCCAGGTTAGCTTCATCCCATTTTTTTTTAAAAAAAATGTTTTAGTTTTGCAGCCAAAAGCTCTTCTGAATTTAGGTTGAGGGGGTGCTTTGAATTTATTCTGCCTCTGCTTCTTTTTTAAAAGGAGAAATAAAATCAGAATCAGTTTTTCAGAAGCTTGTCCCCCCAGCTTCTAAAAAACTGTTTCTAGGAGCAATTTTGAGCACTCAGAAAGTCAAAAGCACTTGTGCACTTTTACTCAAGCACGCTCATATCTGCTTCTGCTCAGCATATATTGTCCCTGATTATGACATCATGTGTAACTTTAGCCATTTTCTATTTTCACCTCAAACCGCATCATTACTTTATTAGGAACTAGGAAGTGATATGACTTCCATAACCATGTTGGTCGATCGTATGAAGCTATATCTTAGGTGATATGACTTAAGATTTACATTGTATTAAAAGTTTCAACGTGCCATTTCAGTTCCGGTCGCTATCAGACCAAATATATCGTACTACTGAGTATCACAAGTTTGCAAGGGAACAGGTTGTTAAACAGGTAATATTGAATATGTGTATGCCATTTATTATTTCAGTGTAACTCTTCCTTGCTTCAATTTGTAACCATTTGTGCAATTAGATTAATTTCCATTTTCTTTTCTTTTTCTTTTGGATTTGTTTGTTATTTTCCAGCTCAAATCCCAACCGGAGTTGTACAAGGGTTATGTTCCTATGGATTATGGAGAGTATCTAAAGAAAATGAGCAAGTATTCAGAATTTGTAAATCTCGTTGTTTAGTGATTAGTTTTTCATGCACTACTAAACTAGTAACAGTTTACTCTTTTTCTTACCGAAATGATGATAGGTGTGGTGAATGGGGTGATCATGTCACATTGCAGGCTGCTGCAGATGCGGTATTCTCTCATCTGATTTTGCTCTAAATTTTGACTGAAAATACCATCCCATCTAATTTGTGAAATTAATTCTCCATGAAAGATGTTATGAGCATTTAGTAGTTATAATAATCACTTTAAAAGATCATAGTGACCATTTTTAGGTCAATGGGACAATGACCAAATAAAGTAGCTGTAGTAGATCGTAGTCGTGTCTCAGTTCAAGAGCATTGAGAACCGTCGATCCCTCAAATTAGAGTTTCCTATTCATTATTTCTAGGGTAATTGAATAATGTGGCCTGAACTTGAAGTGGTATTTGGTTGAGGTTATCTTATATTTCAACTTACATGATAGCCTACTCGAAGGTCATGTAGAGTTTAGCTGAACGGGTATTGTGAGAAGACCTGAGTAACTAGGATAAATTTTTTGGAACATATTATAAGTTATTAACAAGTTTGGTTAAGGTTTGTATTCTAGATCATGTGGAGTTTAGGTGAATGGGTATTGTGAGAAGACCTGAGTAACTAGGATAAGCTTTTCGGAACATATATTAACAAGTTTGGTTGAGGTTTGTATTCTAGGTTGTGCAAAAAAAAAAATTGCAATTAGTACTTATCGTGCTTACATTACTAGGATTAGAATTTCTTACCCAATCTTTATAGCCATATAATTGATTCACATAGAAGAATTGTCATTGTGTTGCTTATGAGCCCTTTTCCAATCCTTCTGGGATAATATTTGAATTTTCACAGTACATATTTTTATCCACTAATGTTTGTTTATTGCAACATTTCTGTTTTTTTTGCCTTTACTTGGGTGTACTTAATGGAAAATTGACTAATTTTGGGGCTGTAATGGTGATTGCAGTATGGTGTTAAGATATTCATCATTACATCATTCAAGGATACCTGCTACATTGAGATAATTCCACATGCACAAGTATCAAAGAGAAGTAAGTTCGCCATTGTAACTCGGTCTCATTCATTAGCAAGGAAAATGCAACAAAATAAATTTTAGGTTGTCCAGACAAGGAACTCCATGTGCATTAGGATAAGTCGAACGTAGTTCTTTTGTCAGTTTCAAATTTTCTGTTCTCTTCGTTTACAAATCATTGAGCGATTGCTATTTGTTGCATCAATCACTCTAGATATTCACAGAACAGTACAACTAGATATTCACTCTAGATATGTTCGGTTGTCTGTTTGAAGTTATCAGTTGAGTTATTTTTTCTTTTTGCAGTTATTTTCTTGAGTTTTTGGGCAGAAGTGCATTACAACTCCATATATCCACGAGGAGGTAATTGGATTTAATTATTATTATTATTATTATTATTACTATTATTATTATTCTCGTCATCATCATCATTATTATTATTATTTTTGATAGAGTATATGGGCCCGGACCCCATGGCCCACATACTCAAGTCAACGATGGCCAGAAGAACACCCACGTGGCCCCCTTCGGCCAGCGGGTCCGCATCGGCCAGAAACCAAACCGGCCCAGGAAGCACGCATGGACTCCCGGGACCGCATCGGCCCATGGACCGTATCGGCCATGGGACCGCATCGGCCAAAAGTGCACCGCATCGGCCAGGCCTCGTCCTAGCAGAATGCATCTCTCTACTTTATTTGCTAAGTATTGTACTCAGCCCATTAGTGGCCCTATTTCGCCCAAAGAAGGCACGATTATTGTAATGGGCCTCCTAAGCCCATGGCTAGGAGCCCAAATCCACATTTTTACCTATAAATAGACCCCTTGGGGCTAGTTATAGGAGGTTGAGAAATATAATTACTCACTTTCTCTCTCTAGCTCTCACTTCTCTCTAGAATTAATACTCTATCATTTGGTGGATTGGCGGATTCCAAAATAGAATCTTTTGGCGGATTCCAAAAGATCCCAAAAAGCGCGGACTGGCGGATTCGAACTACGAACTTGAGTGGCAAGTTGAGTTAGATTATTAATCTATTATCATTATTTGTAAAATAGTGTGTATTTTTTGACACATGGAAAAACGGACTTATTCCGAGCACTCGCGTACACCGGCAGACTATTGAAGTCTCGCGCCACGGGTCACGACAAACGGGTGTGGCGATAAATAAGCTTCAAATCCAAATGTTATTTAATACACACTCTGGTTTCTATGCTCCAGCATAGAAACATGATTTGAGCTCCAGCTTGAAATTTTGAGGCCATTTAATGTAGGCCCAAATCCAATAACGAATTGAAAGCTCAAGAAATTATAACAAATTTATTTGAATGCATAGGTGCAATTAAATGATGACCAGGACTACTTAGCATGCCGAGCTACTCACATCGAGAGACTGGTCTCGGCCATCCCCTCAGTAGACGGACACCGTTGCAGCTCTGTGCCTAGGCCGAAAGGTTCACCCCTTTTTGCTTCATTTTGGGGGCATCTGATGTACTCTTTTTCCCTCATTAGGATTTTTTCCCATAGGGTTTTTTCCTAATGAGGTTTTTAACGAGGCATCTCCCCATTGTGGATCAAAAGGTGTCGACCCTCGGCCCCCTATTGAAGACATCATCACGAGACATGCACTACTCAACTCCTCTTCACCTCATGACATTCACCTCAAGGAGTGGGGGACTGGAAGAGCGGGGGTAGCACCACCGTTAACCAAAGAAGCAGAAATTCCAAATTTTTAACGAAGTTTACTCACCAAACGATGACATATCAGCACACAGTTCTACTCTCTTTCGCCTCGAGTACTCTCGACTCAGAGAGTGGGGGACTCCTGATAGAGTATATAGACTCAGACTCCCGGGTATCACGACTATTGGGCCCGGACAGTGGCCCACACACGCTTCACCGATATCATTTATATTATTGTACTGTCCGATTTGTATTTGTATAATTGTATCCACTAGATTAGCCTTTTTTATATCAGTCCATTTATGTAACCGGGTCTGTCGGGCCCATATTAGAGGCCCAGACCCGGATTTTCCTATTTATACTCCTCTTGGAGCTTCTTGTAACCCTAAGTCATAATTCCATAATTCAATACTATTCATCTTCTTCCTCACCTCTCTTGCTCAAATCTCTCCTAATTATGTATGTTTGGATCCCTATAATCCATCAATTTTTGTCATTGGCCAATTAATACGGAGTACTGATTAGCTTCCTTAGCACTTAAATGGGACAAGCACTGCAAAATCTTTATCCTTATGTTTGCAGAGTTGCCTATAATGGAGACTGACAAAAAGAAAAAGAAATGGTGGCGGCTTGGGAGGGAATAACTTCCTTCAACAAGTTTGAATCTGAAATCCTCTCTTTTAACTACTTCTAACATATCAAGATGGGGAAGAGTATAAAGGGAAAGAAGAGAAGTGCATTGCAGTTTGTGTATATCAAGTGCATTCTAGTGTGCATATATATAGTAAACCTCTTCCCCTCCTATAATATCGGTATAGCAATTTTGATTTATTGAGACCGCCTTATCATGCTATAGTCACCAATAGCTATTTGTAATTTATTTATTCATTCATTCGTTTGTATATATATCAATGTCTAATACAAGTAGGATGGAGGTAGAAAAAGGGGGTTAGCAACATTTTATTCATTATTTCATTATAATGTATTATTATTAAGATGATACTAAAAAGTTGATTGCCGTAAAACCATGCTATAAGGTAAACTAGTCAACAATTTCAATTACTCTTACCTCAATATAATCACAACATGGTTTGGAATTTCAGGTGAGATTTTCTCAATGAAAGTGTCCAACTTGGTATTCAATTTAGATTTTAGGATTCAATGAACTCTGAGTCTCTGACCAACCATAGTGATTAAATAATCAAATAGTGTTCATTTTTTTAATACTCTTAAGTATTCAACGTCTATAACCCAATCAAAGTGAGTGGTACACATGTAATAAGTGGTAAAATGTGAGAGCATGCTTGAATTTAGATTTCTGCATCCAAACTTTGGATTGGTACTTGCTGTATTTAATAGGCATGGACCCGGTTCGGCCCGCCCGGCCCGCCACTGTGCGGGCCCGGAACCGGCCCGGTTCTCGGGTCCGGATCCGGGTCTGGCCTAGGCCCGGTGGGGGGGCCGGGTCCGGGCTCGGGCCTTGTATTTGGCGAACTGGCCCGGCCGGGTCGGGCCCGGGCCGAATTGATTTTTTTTATTTATTTTTTTCATTTTTTGTGGTTAGCCGGGTTGGGCTTGATGGTTAGGAGGGGTTTGGGGGGGTTAGTGGGGGGGTTAGGAAAACAAAAAAAAAATTATGACCGAACTGGAGGCCTGGCCCGACCTTGCCCGGAACCGGACCCGGTGGCTACCCGGGCCGGTCCCGGGCCTTGCTTCCCAAAAAAAAGCCCGGACGGGCCCGGCCCGGAACCGGAACCGGCCTGGCCCGGTCCATGACTAGTATTTAATCATAGTTTTCATTATTTTATTCGGTTCAGATGTGTTTGGGAGGAGGGGGAGGGAAAGGTTTTAAAGGTTAGCCGTAAGAAGGTTAGTGGTAAGAAGGGAACGGGGGAGGGAAGGAAATTCTTCTTGTTTGGGAGTTGTAATTTTGAAGAAAGAAAGAAAGGCTATCAATGAATTATACTTAAAATCATTTCTAAACAACGACAAATATAAATAGTTGAATTTATATTCACTTTCAATAGGTTTAAAGTCACAATTTCTTCAATTATTCTCGAAAAAACTCAATTTGGAAACTTAAAATTAAACATTAAAAGGATCTTGAAGAATAACAAGAACCCTCTAAATCGCCCTCTCCGATTTTTGAACTATCAAACAAGAAAAGGAGTATCAAACCCTCTTAATCCTTCCCATTCTTTTCAAAACCTCACTCTCAAAAATAATCTGAAATATACTACAAATCTTTTGAAGGGAATTCAAAAACACGTACGTGGAATGGTTTATAATTTGTTAGAACTTTGTTCATTGTTTTGCTCTTTTGTATAATTTGAACTCATATTTATTTGTATTTATTTGTACACTTTTTCATATAATTGAATACATATTTTGTATAATTTGAACTCATATTTATTTGTATTTATTTGTACACTTTTTCATATAATTGAATACATATTTATTCGGCGACATATTACTATATTAGTACTTTATCAAAAGTAAAACCTAACATGTTTCTGGGCTTCTAGCTACAATAAAGTGATAATTAAATAGGGAAACATATTACCTAGTTCTTTACAATTATGGATAAGGAAACGACACAAAAACAAGAATTTGAAGTTTCTGAGTTTTGAAATGACAAAATGTGAGCTTTATGGAGTTATCATACTTCGTAGATCACCAAGAATTAGTTTCACTTTCAATCATTTCCCTGACTTCATTAACAACCAAATGTGTTTTGTGCCCACCAATCACCTCACCTTGCTTCTTCCCATCCTTCCACAGCTGTTGTGTACAATACAATGTCTTAATTTATAAAATTGTTATGTATCAATCGCATATACGTATGTTGTTCAAGATCTATCAATTTCCATTCAAAAATGAATTACCTGGATTGTCGGCATTATCTGTTCGTTTTCCCCCAGCAAGTAGGTTTCCATAGATTTACATGGAAATGTAAATAACACTACACTAATCAGATTCCCCCCAGCACTGAATTTGAGATCTACACCAAGTCATAAATAAGAGGAGACGCTTACAGTGACTCCCGCACAAATAACAAGCTGTTGGGATTGGAAAATTCTTCTATTCAATATTAAGAACAGAGTTACAATAGGAGGAGCAAACTCTCACACTCAACTATTACAAAAAACCAATCCTCACCAATACACTTCTACTCTAAGTGTATTTCACTCTTCACACACTTTTCTCACTTTCTAAACTGATACGAATGAACAACAATACACTCTCTATTTATAGGTGTATATGCGAGACATGAGGAAGTTGCATCCAAGCTTCCATTCTCATTGCTAGGGAGTTTCCTAGCTATCTCCAAGAAATCTTCTCCATGTTCATGTGTTTGATACCTCTTTCCTAGAAGGTGTTATATGTCTCTTGGCAACTTCCAAGAAAGAAGGTGGAAGTTCCTTACACAAGCTTGTGTGGAACATTATTAACGTCCACTGTAAAATCGTAGACTGCAACACAATATGAAACAGAAGATTCAGTTCAAATAGAACGTTTGGTAGCTTCATTCGGCCTATATTGATTATCAGGAGACTAAAGAATAATGAGTAGTTTTTTACTTGAAACATTTGGCTGAAATCACTGTTATGAAACACTTTTACTTTCTGAAAATTTAGCAGATTCGGCCAATTGTGTCAAATAAGGCTTAGCAAACAGGCACTAATTCGAGCCATAAGGAGAAAATGGTTGGGATGAAAAGAAACTTACTAATAAAGCAGCTTGAAATGATGATTATAGTACACAGTGCCATGCTAATTCTTTTGTAGTTTGGCTTTCTTTTCCCAGGTAAAAGATAAGTTTAATGCTGGAGGATATTTACTGATTCAAAAATATGCATTTTCAGATTTTCTGCACCAACATGTCATCCTGGAAACCCAAACAGCTTCTTTATAATGACAATCCACTTTTAAATTCTTAAAAATAAAAGGGCAATATGACATTTCTTGGCAAGGTGTTGTTTTCATTTCACTTCTTAAATAGCTTTACTCATGAGAGATTATGTTATTTTCTTCTTCTCACTTGCTTATCATTTTGAAATTTTGTGACCACAATGTAATGTGTGGGAGATCTTGTTTGCCAAGAGTTTTCTTCTATGGTTTATAAAAAACAAAAAAAAACCAGGGCAATATGACATTAATGTACAGAGTAAATACAAAACATCAACCTACAACTGCAACTTCTCATATACCTTATAAGTTATAAAAACAATGTTAAAAGAAATCCACACATTTCAAGTCAACAAGCTATCATAGTCTAAGGTTATGACTTATGATTGAGTTCTGGAAAATGAGAGGGAAAGGAAAATAAATTGCAAAGGAAAGTTAGTTTCTTAACTTTCATTAAGAAACTAAATTCATTACTGAAGCCCCCCTCAGGTAATGTGTGGAAATGTGTGGTTGTGTCTGAGTAAGAAAAATGCAAATGAACGTTAGTCACAGAAAGCTGTCCAAAAAGGGAAATGAAAATATTTTTTTTTAAATTATTGAAGCCCCCCCCCCCAAGATACTAAATGTTTTGAAGTCAAACAGAAAGATTGTGATGTGCTGTAGAGGAAAGGGGTGGAGGGTCAAAAAGGGTTTGGAATTAAAAAGGGCGGGGGGAGTTGGATTCATACTTGGAAATGGTAAGAAAACGGAAATGAAACCCTCTCTGATAGTCATATGTTTCTAGCTACTGCAGTGACATATGAAGATGCATTAGAAATTCTCAAGTATATCGAATCTACAAAGGTGCCAAAAGCATACATCTTCCCTGTCCAAACAGCATTGCACGTTGAACCTGCACCGGTTATGGCAGCCTTCACTAGCAGAGGACCAAGTAGACTTTCACCTAACATCATCAAGGTAACTAATTGAGTTGTAAGAAATTACAGGCTATAGGACTAAAATGTGGATAATATGCACGCATAGGAGTATACACGTTTTTTCCTAAAAATAGGAAAAGAAAAGAAAATAAGTAAATAATTCTCCTTTTAAAGTGAATTAGTCTTATTTTCAGAAAAAACAATGGTAGCTCTATTTGAAAATATGGATTCCTCCTTATAGTCTAGCTAGTCTAGATTATGAGTTTTCCCTTGAACCATTGTATTAAGTTTAATATTTTTTTAATGCTCCGAAACATTATTAATGCAGCCCGATATAACTGCACGAATCGGGAACTTCAGTGTCATGCCCCCATGTGAGCGGTGCTGCTGCACTTCTCAAGGCCCATTCATCCTCATTGGAGCAGTGCTGCAATCTGCTCAGCTCTAATTACTTCAGGTTTCTTCATTTATCTTATATTTCGGTGTTGCAATATTCTAAAAAAGTCGAGTAAGGAGGGATGAAGTAGATAGGATTCAACAAGTCAATTGAAGATGAAAAAACACTTACACAGCCAGACCAAACAAAAGAAAAATGCCCAAATGGT